ACTGTATGCCGCCCATCTCCCCAGAGGGTGACTCTGGGCGGCTCATGGTTAGACTAAAACCCAAAAACAATTAAAAAAATACATTAATTAATTAAAAGTCAGACTATATATTAAAAAACCCTATACATAAAAAGACTAAACACATTCGAGATGACGGGGGTAGAATCTATAGCCCCATGAGCCACGTCCACTGGTGCGAGCCCCTCATCTGGCCCCAGGCCATCTGGCACAGCCAGGATTCCACACTCTTCTGGAAGGCCAGGGGAGTGGGGGCAGCCCACACCTCGGGGGGTACTTACAAAGAGAGGAAGAGGGGCTCCCCTCCCTGAACACTGGGGGGTCCTCAGTTGTAAATACATTGGCATATGCCTACTCTGACTGACCAACTTTTTTTTTAATAGTATTTTTATTAAAAATTGCAACTACAACAATAAAAAACTAATACAAACTAAAAATAAAAAATAAAAAAACTAGAAGGTGCAGAAAAGAAAAGGAAAATAGAAAAGAAAGAAAAAAATAAGAATACCAACTCTTACACAGGTAAAGCAAGTGCTCCTTTGGAGGCCTGGTGAGTGCACGGTGATTTCTATATGCCCACCAGGCCACTGTAAGAAGTTGTTACCATCTTTAAAAAGGAAATGGGCACATTCTATTAGTCCAGATGCAAAACAGGGTCTGCGTTCATGCAACACAGTCAACCATGTCCATTAAAGATCTACTGGCTGCATTTATGCAACATCCTAACCTTAATTAAATTCTTCTGGCTTAGTATATTGTGCAGAAACGGCCTGTTCAATATACTGTGTGAACCCACAAAATGGATTAATTCAGTAATTAAGCTTAAGTATATTGTGCAAACATAGCTGGCTTGTTTAAGCAGGATCTCCCCACCCGACCCCAGCCATTTCTTCCTTTCTCACAGAATGCCATGGCTGAATATGTTGAGCACATACTTAGAATCACGTTGTTGGAAAGGACCTGATCCAATCCACTGCACAGTGCAGAATGCAAATTAAAGCACCTCAACCGTATTTTCAGTGAAGGGACCCCCACCAGTTCTCTGGGGAATTGGATCTGCTGCCAAATATCCTCTGTGAGGATATTTTTTCTGACATTCCATTAGAACTTGCCTTCCATTATTTTGTGTCCTGAACTCTGGAAGGAGACAGAACTGGTCTGGACTATCTTCTATCTGACATCCTTTCAGGTATTTGACAAAAGCGGGGTCAACTTTAGTCAACTTTTCTCAGGGCTCAACATCCTCAACTGCTCCAGTCTCCTCCAACCATCTTTGTTCTCTTCTCTGAACCTTATATAAACTTTACACATATTCAGGCTTTAATTTCCATTAGATTTTGGCAGGGATCCATATTCCAGGTTCCAATACAGTTGTCTCAAAGGTGCTTTGGTGGGACTGTGCATCTTTTGCAGGAATGCTCTAACACATTTCTTGTTCCAAAATGAATGCATGATATAACTAACCATCTCCTTCTTCCTGCAGGAGTTCCACATGGGACAATGTGCTTCACTTCAGCAGACAACAGAAAACCACACATTGTACAAAGACACTTGGTTTCTCTTCAGCTCATTACCTAATTTTCATTTCTCTACAGAGGTAATCTGAGCTGCAGGGAGAACGCTCCCCACAGGTTATTTCACTTGCCTTGCTGAATTTCTACCACATGGCTTCTGTCAGAGGCCCCTTAGACCTTATCTGCTCACACCAGAGAATAATAAATGGCCCCAAATAAGACGGCAGGCCCTTGCAGATCCTCAGAGCTTAATCGGCTCCAGCCAGACCGTGGGCACCTCTGTCTTATCACTACTGCTTCTCAGGAGCCACCTACTTCCACTCGAGCAAGACTAGCCAACGCGGCCCAGGCAGGGCAGCAAGGCCTCGCAATGCCTGCTGGCGTTCAACTTGGAGTTGGCTCGAAGAACTCCCTTCCTCCCTCCCTCCCTCCCTCCCTCCTCCGGCTTGTCTTCTTTACACTGCGAGCCAGAGTGCTCCCAGCCAAAGGTGCCACTCTGAATTGATATGTGATACTTCGTGAGTCAACAATTGTCTAAAAGGCGGGATGGACAAGGTTACATTATATAATCAGGCATGTTAATTGCTGAAATAAAAACCTACCTATTCTGATAAAAGGCAGTAATTAGAAGCAAGTCATGCCTTGTTGCTCTAGGAGCACCAAAGCCGCCCAAGTACCAACACTGAGGCACAGAAAAGCACAGTAACTTCCTATCTCTCTTTAAGTGAAGGCGATCAGGCCCAGAGGAAAACAGAAAACTGGCTGCCATTTCCCTGACTTGACTTGACAGCTTTGGCTTCCTGCTCTTTGTGGAGAGAGGACGGGCTTAGCGCTTTTCTCACCCTGGCTGCTGGGCCCTTTCTCAGAAAGGAGCTTAGTGCTTAGCCCCAAGAGCCATAAGAGCTCAGCCCCTCACTCTTGTCCTGGACCTCAAAGTGAAGCTTGGGTGCACATTTATTCCCGTCCCGCAGACACCCAGTATGAAAGCCCACCGTTGCTTCCAGGTCCTCCGTCTTGTTGCGCAGATGGTCAAGGTTCTCACCCCTCGCTAGAATCCGCTCCACATTCTGCGTCATGATATTCTTGACACCCTCGACCTCATTCTGGAGGTTCTTCACCCGCTCACTGCCCATCCCAGGGCCACTCCCACTGCCTCCCTCCTGTAGAGAAAAAGAACAAGGCTTAGGTGGGCAGAGAGGAAGAAAGGGAAAGATGCACCCATCACCTTCCACTCCATTCCATTCCATTCCCCTCCCCATATTTTTTTACAGTACATACTGGGAATGCCACAGCCCAGATCCCTGGATAGCCTTTTATCAGTTTTAGGCAAAGGAGAAATACACCACTGAAAACTCAAATGAATATTGTCCAACGAAGAAACCTCCTAATGTCTGGGTGCAGTTTCCAGAAACTTCCAAAAGTTGCTGACTCACGTGGTGGTCAAGAACTCTGGAACTCAAACCTGTATTTTCCTTGTATGGCAACAGTGTGAGCCCCAGAAAAGGTGTGGCTCTTTTAAGAAGCAGTCAACAGGTACAAGGACAAATATACCCAATAACTCCAATTATTTTCCCTTCAAAATGATGATGATGACAATTAGCATCATCATCCACTCAATCCTTCAAATCATCCTAAAATAACTACAAGCCTTGAAAAATTACAGCATTATCCAGTCCTTGCAACCTAAAAAACATCAAAAGCAGCCCAGCTGCAAACCCCTGGTGGGATAATAGCACTTGGTTTGTCACTGTGGCTGGACAGATGCTTCTAAGTACTGTACGCAGAAGCTGGAGGGGGAGAAACACTACTTTCCTGTCATTGCTCTCCCGCACCTGCTATTTGGAGACCAGAGGTAACACTGAGTCATCAGGATTGACAGCCCTTAATAGATTGGTCCTCCATGAATGTATCCATTCCCTGTGATAAGGAATTTCAAAGGCTGATTATGTGCTTCATAAAGAAGTGCTTTCTCCTGCCCAGTTAGCTTCGTCAGATGACCCCTGGTCCTCCTGTACAGAGAGGCAGAAAGGTTCCTCCGTGCCAAGCGTCAAACTCTTGGGAGTTCGCTCAAGTTGAAAGTAACCTTTTCTCCAAGCCTGAATGACAGAATCTTCTTCACCAGATTTATTTATTAAAGTGGAAGGGAGAGGGTTAGGAGGCTTTCAGCACCTGAACTACTTCCTGTTAGAACCCCTTGATCTCCTAAGACATCAAGGCAGAGCCTTTCATGGTTTTTCTAATGGCTTGCTGGTGCAAGTCTTCACTGCCGATGGATGAGGTGTTTACTTGCAAAACTGTCTCCTGAATCTTGATCAGACTGAGGATGACCCTAATACTGATGTATTACTGCATGTACCTTAATCAGGTCACTCTTCAGTTTTTCAAAGCCACAGCCCCAAACATTCCTAATTTTTTTCATAAAGAAAATATTTGAGACCCCTGATCGTTTGGCTTGCCTTTTCCCCATTATATCCTTTTCCAAATGTGGCCAGTTAAAGGCATTACAACGTGGGTGAGTTTATTTTCATTCCCTTTCCTAATGATCCATAGCATGGAACCTGCTTTTCTCAGAGCTGGAGTTTTTTGCTCCAACGTGCATCACTTTACGTTGACCTAAACTGAATGGCATCTGCCATTTGGTTGACCATTCACCATTTAATGAGATCCTTCTGGTGCTCCTCCTGATCACTTTTGGTTCTCATTCACCAGCCTGAGCTATCTTTAACAAAAATCCAGTATTTAATCACTCATATTATTTTAGGTATACTGTATTGCCATTACAGCATCAATTTCCATTATATCCTTCATAGCAACACATATAGAAATAGAAAGATTAATGCCTTGAGCAAGCTGCGATCTAAATTTTGGCCCAGGAGGGAAAAGAAGAAATTGCATCACAGAGATATTCAATGCTCCAATAATATTCACTGTTCACATTATAGCACGTATAAGAGACATTTAATAAAGCACAACAGTAATTTGTATTATCAGATATCATTCTACTGAGAATTATGGACATTGTCAAAAAGATGGAAAAATACTCAATGGAAGAGCTGAATACATATTACAATTTTGAAATATATTGCAATTATACAGTTTTTGAACATGTCCAATGTTTCCACACAGTAATTCTCACAATCAGGTCCCCAAAATGGGATAAAAATGCAAGACCTGAAATTAACTGTCAAACTTGCTCTTTCCACTGTCCCGATTTCTAACAGATACAGTATACTTATTTCCTGTATTACAACTGGAGGCGTTTCTTACACCACCAACGGCTTTCTTTTACTGCGCAATAATTTTCATTTTTTTCACAATCCCTTTCGTGTGCTGCCTCCTGGCCAGAAGAGAGACCAGAGCAGAACAATACCTCACGCAGAGACCCAACCTGGAGTCTCCTAAAAGCAATTACTGTCTCGGAGTGTTCATTCCCCAACATTCAAAAAACTTTTAGCTATCCCACCCTCTCCACAAAGCACTTTTCTCCCATTCTGGAGACAGGAAGAAAATAAAGTGTTCTTGCTGCTGCTGGGGGGGGGGGGGGG